CGGCGTCTTGGACGTATTGAGGTAGTCACAGGGAACGCAGTGGTATGAGGTACATCCGGCAATGCAAATGTTATCCGTTAAATGCCTGTGCTCATGACCCCCTTTTCCAAGCAACTGGGAGCAAGGGGAGGTGCTGTACGGTGTAAACTCTGGTATTTTATGTTCAGACGTATGAACATATTCTTATATTTATACGTTAATGTATACAAATAAATATAACTCCCTATATATATCGTAAGGTACAAAGGTACAATTTTTATTCTAAATTTAAATGAAGTATCATCAGTTGCTTCATTGCCAAAATTTTCAAAGAGTTTAACCCGTATATAAATTGTATTCAATAAAATCCTACGTTTTTTTATCGAGCTGGATGCATATTCAGAAAAAAATTAGGTAAAATTAAGTGTAAAGAACAATGTCTACGATATTGTTCCATACTGTGGAATGATCTTAAGGTGCAAATATGATAAAAGAATTGTTGATACGTAATGTGGTTCAGTCTAACGAATTTAGAAGTAATTTAGTGTATTCTTTGGTCGTTTTCCTGTAGATTGATTGACCTTCCCTCACCGTTATATGGAAGCATGTGAGTGTCTGAACAAAGACAACGATGAGGAACTGTCATAAATCTGGAAGAAAACTACCAACTAGTTGGCGAGGAGGACCAAGAATGAATTACATCTGAATCTAGTAGCCTGAAGTACTGTAGTATAAAAATTTTTTCATGCTGTTTGCATCTTAAAATTATTTCACAGTATGCAGTTGTTATTACATCCTGTCTTCTGCAGATCGATCCATCTCGATCCGAAACGTCAGGATTTTGTTTGATAAAATATACATGCAGAGTAAACAGTAAAGATTTTCGTGATGAAGAACTTTTCACCCGCATAAAGAATTCAAGCAATCTCCTTCTCACTGGCTACTATTGTTCTTTGCCTAATTCAGCTACAAAATTGATGTATTAGTTTTCTTTGTAAAGTTATTAAAAAATATCTAGATTCAAAATGATAATCTCCTTGGCCATCAAAGTTTAAGCCTAACGCATGATTGTTTCTTAATTAATCGTTAATTATTCTTTAGTTAATTAAAAGACGTATTTTTCGCAGAGCCATTCTCACAATAGTAACGGCAACCGACACAAAACATTTCCGAAGAAACGCAAACAACCGCCATCAGTTGACGACGACGCGGCTGCACCGGTGGTTGTCCCTACGAATACTCCGCGCTCTACCGGCTCCATGGCGATGCATCAGGCCGAAGACACCGTCACCCGAATCAGAAACATCGAACTGATCGAGCTCGGTCGACACAGAATTCAGCCCTGGTACTTTTCCCCTTACCCTCAGGTCTGTCTCCCACTTCTCTTGGAAAAATTGAAGCAGACCTGATATTACAATTATTTCAGGAACTCAGCTCTTTACCCTGCATATACCTCTGTGAGTTCTGCTTGAAGTACGTGCGAAGCAAGAAATGTCTCGAAAGGCATATGGTATATTGCTGCAAAACCACTGTCGCTTTTGCATTCTTTATTATTAAATGCAGATTTTATAGTCTAAATGTACGCTGAGGTATCCTCCCGGTAATGAGATCTACCGCAAAGATACTATATCCGTGTTTGAGATCGACGGACGAAAAAATAAGGTAGTGTACTCAGTTATGCCATTGTGTTTTGCTGTCATTTTCGTGTTCGCCGTTTAGACCTATGCTCAAAACTTATGCTTATTGGCTAAGTTGTTTCTGGATCACAAGACGCTTTATTACGACACTGACCCATTCTTGTTTTACGTCATGACTGAGTGCGACAATAGGGGTTTCCACATCGTCGGATATTTTTCTAAGGTAATCACGTTACGCTAACCCACGTTCTTTATTTTAAATAGAATATTTTGTTTGTGCTTCGGAAATCTTATCTGAAAGAAGAAAACAACACAGAAACGTGATAGTACCCCTTCCCCTCTCAATGGGAAGTGTAGGGTTTCGTCAGAATCCGCAGTAATCATCCAGTCCTTCGAAAACATCCAGTGCGACCGTGGTACCGACGGATTCGATGAGCCTCTTCGTACGTGTCTCCAAACAACTATTAAATCAACAGTATGTGCCACTCAGAACTCGCCTTACGGCTTCATACAGATAACCATATCGCTGCCTCCCACCTACGAATCACTTTACGCAGAAGAATGCCTGTGTGATACTGACACGTCCATATGATCTATCAATCTATAGATCACAATGTTGCATTACATTTTTTGTGTTGTTCATGCTTAATAGCAACGTTCTGAAACAAGCGTTCTCCTTAAATATTTTCTTTAAACTCGATAGACCTATCTGAAAAAGGGAAAGCTCTCATGATGGCTAAAGAGACTCCGGATACATAACAAGAAACGTATTTGTATCAAAACTTTACATTTCGCTACTGGTTTGTGATATAGCGGGATCCTTCATTTCAACAAGAGACTGCCTCTCACATACAGAGATTACCTTTAACTCTGTTCGTAGTGAGGCATATAGTGAAACTGCCATTTATGATTATGGAATTCCCTGAGTTAATGTGCCTTTAACTTTCGACTCTAATTCACGTGCAACCCAAGTACAGTTGCAGTGTACACAGTATCCTTAACAATATTAAAATTTTTGCTTCACCATCAATATTAGCGATTTTAGAATAAACAGAAAGATCAGAATTAAAGGTAATCGTACTTTTGAAGTGAAAATTCAATCAGATGATAAGAATACCGTACCGCGTATGCACAGGCAACCGTACTTCGGTGATCTTTGAACTACAGTAAAACTCTAAGTTTAAGGCACATTAATTCAGGGAATTCTACATCCTTGTGATATTAGCTTAAATAACAGGCGGATTGAGTGCGCGTAAAACTTTCAGTTCTTGGAGATGAGTTTAGCAGTTGTGCAGCAATAGACCGAAGGATCACACACAAAAAACTGTTACTTCGAATTAGCAACATTCTAGTTCTAGTTAATATCATACATTTGATATACTTTATGTACTATATAAACCGTAGTATTACTATACTATATATTAGTATTGTCATAGGTGCCAGAATATAATCTGTAGTATGCCGCCAATAGTTTACGTACTATTTA